CTACTGTTTAAGTATAGATAATCGGCACAACATCAAAGAAAAAAACAACTAGTCAAGAGTCTACAGCAAGAATTGAAAATCGTTTCTTAGACTAACAAACGAGAAGATTACAACCCTGCGCCTTCCTATTTATTAAAACTATAACAACTAGCTAACAGTTTTAAACTTAAATAGTCGAATACATCGGGTGTCCCTAAAAAAGTTCGGAAATATAGCAAATCTGAATTTTTCAGAGATGTTTACTTGGAACAAAGGTTTCAAACGGAGAAAAAGTCTTGAAAACCCAACACATGTGATCGTACTACCAAAAATAACATTTATCAGAAATTATTTCCGCAGTACAATCTTCGACGTTTTAGTCGCAATAGTTGTCACTTCTTCTTCAGAAGTGTTCTGTGGCATAGATAAAGACATTGCACAATGTGGAAGCAATGCCGACCCTACCGCCATCTATGATGGACCGAGGCACAACTGCGCTTTTTTACCTTCTTGCGGGTTTGCGTCTCTACTACTACTGTGTATTCAGGGTTTGCATCCTTGCTATTCTCGGCAACCCATTACTTTCATTGGAATTAAGATATGTTTAATATTCAGTTTGATATATTTGTACAGAGGCAAGACTTGTTTCTGATTTATAAACAAATGTATCAACTTGAAAATAAACATTCTCCTAATCTCAATTAAAGTAATGGGTTGCCGTCAATAGCAGATACATATTTAGACATTAGTGACTGGTAACCGCTCCAACAGTTTGTCAAAATTTCACTGCCAGGACGAATGTGAATTTTTATGTGTTCCAGCAGAATTTGGCCCTTTTTTGCGGTCATGTCATACATCCCCAGGACCCATTTCTGGGGTAGACAACTGACCCACATGATATTTCCGTTTGTTGACAATAGACACATCTATTTGTATTTGATGACCAGGGCCACCTGTAAACGTAAAGACCAACTGAAAAAATTACTTAACGACATCGAAGATACATTTTGCTTGAAATTATTCTTACCAAATAGCTGATCATCCTGTAACAGCTTCCAGGAGCAAATGCCCCTAAAAAATCGGTAATACTGTATTACCGATTTAAGGGGGGTACCAGTCAGCATGGTAGCCACTCCTGCGCCTGCTTCGCATACCCAAAGCCACACTATTAACCATAGAACAAGGCTATTAACGCAGCTTATATATCAGTTTAAGCTGTGCTATTAATAGTATCAATATATCACCAACTGCCTTAGAACGATTTTCAAAAATTGAGTTTTTAGGACAGAGTAATGCTGTCTGCATCTCTTGCACCAAAATAAATTTCCAAGAGGACGTTGAGCCTTATTCTGGAAAACACAATTTTGGCGGCAGTATCCTGCAGGGCACTTTATACACTGCGGATTAATTTTTTCCCTCGCAACCATTGGAAAAATCGATCTGGGTCAGTCTTGACCAAACACGAGAACTGCATAATATTGGTCGGATCCATTTTAAAATCTCACTGTATAAAAAATGTGCTAACAACAAGTAAGTTGTGATACGGTGCATCATACAATGAATACAATACAATTATTATATTAGTATTCATTGTATCATGGATACGGTGAAATGGCCATTATAGATGAACACAAGTATGATGACCATGCAGAGACAAGTACTTCTGTCTCTGGTCTCTAGAAAAACTACTCAAACTTGACATGATCAAATATTTTCCGTTAGACTATATGCACTTGGTTTGCTTGGGTGTTACTAAAAAACTCTTGTCATTGTGGTGTTGTGGTAAATCTTCAACGAAATTATTTGCTAACAAATCAGCCTGTATTTGATAGACAAAATACGAAAAAATAATCAAGTAAAAACATGTTATTTTATTTTACATTCCCAATATTCCCTCTTGAAAACGTATTTAAGTCATCTGTTCAAGACTTTGAATATAAAACTATCTAAGTTAGTTTTATATTCAAAGGTTCAAGACGTGTTTAAAGCGTCTGTTCAAGACGTATTTAAGACATCTCTTCAAGACGTCCATATTTGTAACAACAGACAAAATAAGTATTTTAGTAAATTACTTACCTAACTTATTTTTTGTCTTATTTTGGAACTAAACACTAAATATAGAACAAGTCACTTTTTCCGCGAGGAGCCGCATAATTGAGCGATCCATGGAAAAACGTGAGGAAATCGAACTGGCAGAAAGCAATCCAAGTATTAGAGCTGCTAGAGTCGATTCAGTGGGCGTATGGCTTTCAACAATAGAGTATTGTTTCTCCGGGATGAATGTGGGCTTTGAAGAACGACATGTGGTACGAGGAGTTCTGATAAATTTTTTAAATGATTATACCGCCTCGGCGCCTTTGGACTTTTGGCGCCGTCGTGCAGTGCACGTGTGATTTTTCTGGACAACTGCAAGTAAAACTTATAAACTGTCTGCTTTAACTAACTCAGGAACATACAAAGACTCAAGTTTTCATATGAAGAACATTTTATTTCTGATAGATAATTTACTCCTTAATGAAATAAGGTAAAACATCCAACGGGGCATTGTAATCCAGCCAAATGGGCCCCTCATACTTAACAGCTGGATCATTTCCATCGACCCAACTTCCTTCTGGAA